TCTTTGTGTGTCTGTCCTCATTATAGAGTTAGCCAGCTGCTAGTTACAGTCACTTTCATGTTCTCTGAGTCATTCAGTCATTTTCTTCACCAGAGAAAAAAACGGGGAAAAAATAGAAAACAGTTGTTATTAATGGAACCGTGGTTATGAACTGCTGGTTAGAGATAGATTGCATATATAAAACCTGTTTTTAAAAATGTGCAAGCAATACTTCTGGTGAAGAAAAATTTGATGTAGATATTATAGCACATGTCAGTAGATTTGTAGCAAAAGTCTAACACTGTGTCTAATGATCGAAGTTAAAATGATTAACTTCTCAAAAGTTTGATGCATCAAAAACATCTACTCTCCAAATCTGAGTTATTGTCCACCATCATTTGGAAAAACTTTTATTATTTTTATTGCCTTACTTTATTAATAAAAACTTTCAAATTGCTTAAGCCTTGCTTTAACGTCTCCATAGTAATTGCTGCACCACGACGTTTAAAAATGTCTCGTAGCTTAAACACAGTTACGTTGGTACCTTAAATCTGTAAAACAAGGTACAGCGTTTTAATTGGAAAACACCATAAAACGTTTTCAAATGGTTCGAATTAAAAGGGTTTTTTTGTATAAATGCCCGCTTTACACACAGCAGATGTGTAGAGTGTCTGCTTAGTGTTAACATCTGTATTAAAGTCACTTAACAAAGAGTTGAGCTTCGAGTTTGTCACTTAACAACCATTCTGTACTAACACGCCTGCTGCTCACTGTAGAAAAGTCAGTTTCTCATCATTAGCTAGAAATGTTTGTGTCTAGAAATTCTCTAGTTTATCTTTGCATATACTGCCACCTACAGCTGAATGTGTGAAACTACCATCACTTGCCTGACCATGGCAGAAGAAAGAGCTGTGGCCAGTTTGAGTGATGTTAGTCGTTGTTTAAATATGTATTTAAAAGAAATAAACTAAGAAAAAAATAGCAATGAATTGGAAACTTAAGTCTTTTTGAGTAAGTCTCACTCCGGTCTGGTGGTACAGTTGCAGCCTCAAGAGATCAGCCCACCTCCCACCGCCAACTTGGATCGTTCCAACGACAAAGTGTATGAGAATGTGACGGGACTGGTTAAAGCTGTGATCGAGATGTCGAACAGGATCCAGCCCGCTGCCCCGGAGGAGTACGTCCCCATGGTCAAGGTAGGGTGAACATCACGGTTAAGATCTTCAGACAACCTTCACTGTTATTTACACTTTGTGTTACACTGGCAGAGTGTGAAAATTGAGAAAATATTAGGGTGTGGAAGAGCCAGTTTAATACTACAAATGTGAGACTTATGATTATATATGTTTATTGTCATAGGAAGTGGGTTTGGCTCTGAGGACTCTGCTGGCCACAGTGGACGAGACGATTCCTGTGCTGCCAGCCAGCACACACAGAGAGGTAAAAAGAAACTCCTGTGATAAGAGAAAACCACTAAAAGGATTCAGTGATAGGTTGAAAACTAGATAAACTGTCTTTCTTTTGTTTTTGGAGTTATTTTTGATCTTTTTCATGGGAGTTTCTTAATTTCTTGTCACAGCAACTACTCATTGGCGAAACATTGTTTATCCAGTCTTGTACACTGAATCTTCCTTCTTAAAAAAACAACAAAAGGAATGTCTGATCTTTGTCTGCTACGACAGCTTGAGTAAGGGTTTCCTCATGTAGTACTACTACAAGGCATATTTGCTAACGACACCGTAGTGTAAAAGATAACGTTGTAGCTAAGGTTTCCATAGAGACAGAGTGCTTAAAAAATAACCCGTAAAAATGTGTCTCCTGTCCCGCTGATGCCGATGCAACTGAGGTCCACATAGATGTGAGAAATGTACCCTAACAGGCAAAGCACCTGTGTTGTCATTTTAAAGCCACTTTTGGTATTGAAGTAAATACATTTCTTTGATCTTCTTCTTTTGGAAGTTATCATTTATCATCTGATCCTGACATTTTCTTTGTCTTTTTGTAGATTGAAATGGCCCAGAAGCTGCTGAATTCAGATCTGGCCGAGTTGATAGCGAAGATGAAGCTGGCGCAGCAGTATGTCATGACAAGGTGAGGATTAACACGTTAACGGCGCGTTTTCTTGATTTATTTTTACGTCGGGGCTCATGTATTAAAAGCTGTGTCTGTTTCGACAGTTTACAAAAGGACTACAAGAAACAGATGCTAATGGCAGCTCACGCCCTCGCAGTTGACGCCAAGAACCTGCTGGACGTCATCGACCAATCACGGCTCAAGATGATCAACCAGACCCGCCCACATTAGCCCGGGATCTAACCAACTTGGCGGTTTTTGATGCAGTGAATCCAAATGCAGGACAGGGAAAGAGAGCCCGGGAGTTTGGTAGTTCTCGGGAATTTAATAAAAGACTGAGAAGGATCGGCAGGTGGACAGAGTGATGAAGGTCTGACGTGGAAAACCGATGAACAGCAGACACGACAAACTGAAACAATCAGCCCCTCCCCCCCTCGTTCTCTCTGGAAAAAAGTCATGTTTTGGCCAACTTTGTGTTGTTTTGTACTTCAGTTGTATTATTGCCTTTTTGTATCCAGAGAAACCCTCTTCTGTCTCATCACATATCCTCAAAAAAAACACCTTTTTTTCCAGAATCACTCGTTACTCATTTAAATCTTTGAAGATTCAAATAAAATGTCTGGGAAGCTCACTTGAAGGACTGGACAGGTGTTTTTGGTGAATGGACCCACCAATCTTTGCCACGAGAACACATGACTGACACTCCACAAACGCAGGAGGAAGCAACTGGAACTGAAGAGCCTGCATGAGGAGGATGATGAAGATGATTTCATAAAGTTCTTTAAACATGCTTTTATATTATTATTATTATTGTGGTTGTTGTTGCTATGTTCATCCCTGCAGTATGCCTCTGTTTTCTTAAACTTTATATGAACAAAAATGATTGATTTACAACACGGTTGCTCATAATTTCATCTCTTTTTTTCACCCCACTCTAGACTTCTTTATCTCAGGCATCAAGATACAGCATAAACATTTGAGTATTAAAAAATGCAACAGCTATAGGTCTTTTTAAATATAAAAACTGCTACATGCAACTTTTAAAGTTAACTTGCATAAGTAAATATACAAAGAAGCTCTATTTTTAACACATTTCTGAGGCATGAATTGTTAGTAAATAATAAATATTGGAGAGGGGAGAACAGGAGGGAGGAGTGGAAGGGACAAATGGAGGGAGGGTAGTTTTTAAGTTACAGTGGAGGTGCTAATAATACTATACAGCTGCTTGCCCTGTGCCAAATGAACATTTCACTCAAAACATTGCTTAACTGTGGAATACAAGAACAAGTTTAGCAACAGCTTAACTGTTGTTTCTCTGCTTATCCTCTAAAATTTTGATTGGTTTGTATATTAAAGCTCTCTGTACCATGCCATCAGTCGGTTTGTTTCCTCTTTGTCAAACTTTCAGGTGATTAGTAGAATATTTACAGTCTTTGTTGCACTCTAGTTGTATCTGTAACGCACCAAGAGTTGTTTTAAATTAAGGGTGTCGACCTCATTCGCAAGGGTTTGGTCACGATTTTAAAATATGAAATTGTTATCCTGTTTTCCTCCCCCACCTTTCTGCCTCCCTCCACTGCAGTTATTTATACCTTTTTAATCTTCTCTACTTCTGGTCTATCTATTCTTCCCCTCACCTTTGTGTTCCTTCTCTCCTCCCTCTCATCCTCTCGCTGTTCCCTCTCCCCTGAGGTGAGCAATATTCTCAGGAAGGAGACAGTTGTACAGTTGCTAAACCGAGCAAATAAAACACTGTTATTATTGAAGCAATTCAGGTTGTTGTCTTGTTTTGTCTGTTATTTGTTTCACTGTCTGTAAGATAGCAATACATATTTTATGCATACTGTAGATCTATATGGGAAACTCATGTTGGGCTTTTTGGCTTGTAAAGCATCGAAACACTCAATAATTCAAGTAGAGCTCCTGAATGAAGGTTATTTAGGATTTTTAAAAAAAAATTTTTTTTTTTTGCCATCCATAAGGCAAAATTTCAGTCCACTTCAGTCATAACAGCAGTACATCATGGGAAACCCAGAGTAGTTTAAGGGTATTGCAGCATAATTGAGGTATAGTTCAGGGTCAATCCAGCCATAAGTATTATTTTTATCAAAAAGGAAAGGTTGAATTTTAAGTTATCTCATAATTTCAGTTTACGAACTCATACTCAGATTTGAGAATATAACTTGAAATTTTGAGTTATTAAGTCTTACTTTAGTAATAAAACCTTAATAATAAAAAAAAAATTTAATAATAAAACCTACATTCTTTTCAGTTTTTTAGCGTAAATGAGCTCAGCATGGATCATAAATGAACATAACATGGACTGTAGGTGAGCTTAACCTTTGGCAGGTTAATAGTTAACCCACCGGCAACAATGGGTGCCGTTTTAACCCCCTTACATTGACAAAATTAAACATATTGTGTGTAGGGGAATTCTAAGGAGTAAAATGCATGAGGTTATTTGGGGATTAAATTAGTTAATGTGAAGACAAAGCTAAAGTTCATGCTGATGGCATGGTTTTGATGATCTTAGAAAAGTTGTCAGTGCTCTTGGATCATAAGTCGTATTGCAAAACCTTCCAGACAGTACATGATTTAAAAAAAAAAAACTGGTCACTGTGTTTTGTGACTTCAGTTGTTCATAGTTTGGTTGTCGCTGTGAGTGGAAACCAAAAATGTATAAAACTTGTTTCCGCCCGGTTTCGAACCGGGGACCTTTCGCGTGTGAGGCGAACGTGATAACCACTACACTACGGAAACTGCTGTTGATAGCCTGTGCGCCACCTCATATAAAATATTGCAATATATGCAATCAGGAATACGATTTTTTTTTTTGGACACACAAGTTTAGTTCGATACATTTGTGGATTTCCCCACTACCTGGTTAACTTCCGGTTGTGTGACTCTTTTAGCAGGGCAGGCACGAATACTTCTGACTACTGATGTTACGTCTGACGCTGAAGCCCCGAGTGGCAAGTAAAGCTTAAAGCCTTTGTCCAGGCTGCCTGGTTATGTGACTCGAGCAGTTCATAAAACGGTGAGATTATGGGGGTTTTTTTTTTGCGTGTATTGGATCTGAGGTGATTTTGAGGTATCACCAGCTTGCAAGATTGTAAGCAGATTATGGACCCACCAAAGAGGCGAAAAATATTAGCATTTAAGGAGCATTTGGAGAGGACACATTCACCGGGCTTCATCATGCCATCACTACTTTTGACTTGAAGTAAAATCTTTTGAATTAAATGTATATGCCGAACTGAAAGCCAATGATCTGAAAGCTTAGAGGTCATTATTTATTCAGGGTACTGACATCATCTTTAAATTGTATTAAAAGCCATCTCCACAGTCTAACGGTCTGCCTTAAGATGACCATTGATCAGTAATAAATCCACATTTACCCAACTTATCAAACTGTATTTTCAAGACAAGCTGTTGCCTATCTCCTAAAAGTTTACTCCAGATCATGAAGTCTTCTACCATTTTTGCACTATGCAAACATAAACATATTTTATCAATTGGCTGGTCAAACTAATGAGAATTGAAAGTAACTGAGAATGAAAAGTCAAATCTTGAGTATAATTTGGATGATCATTGTATTCAGCTTTTACAAAACTGACCAAGAGTTCAGTAGTTGCAGTTTTTGTGTGAATTATCAGCACACAGCTTGCCATGGCATTAGGTTTATTGCCTAAATTGAATGTGCTGAAATCTAATTTCTCTCATGTCCAGGGAAGTGAAGTCACTACAAGTCTACAGCCTTAAATGTCACTTTAGGTTAATGTGCTGACAAATGCTGCAGATTTAAATTGTATGTGCAGAATTTCTGTACATAAAAAACAAACAAAAACAAGAGACAAGGAGTCATTTTTTATACTTTTATTGTGTTTTTGTATAAAAAAACATCTGTTTTAGTCAAAGAGACCAAAGCCCATGTCGTCGTCTGACTCCTCGGACTCTTCCTTCTTCTCCTCCTTCTTCTCCTCCTCCTTGGCTGTAGAGGGAAAACAAGATGTAGTTAAGTCAAAGATGACTACACAAACTAAATTCAGAAGAAAAGAAAAAAGTCAATTTGATTTCTGAGGTACATGAAATCTGAACTTGAAGGAGAAACTCAAAAGTGGTACAAGCCCAAGAATGCATTCACATTATTGTTATGTAACTGCAAATGTAGCGCTGGGAAATGCTTTGTTTAGTTACCTGGGGCGTCACCAGTAGCAGCAGTACCACCTGCAGCAGCAGCGACTCCAGCGGGGGCTCCGCCGCCAGCTCCAACATTGCAGATCAGACTGCCGATGTCGATGCTGGACAGAGCCTACCAAAGAAAATTCACAGGTTACGTCACTTTATTCACATGTCCAGCGCTTGTTATAGAGATCAGTGTATTTAAAAGGCAGGGCATCAAGCATAACTGCTACCTACCATGCCTAAAGACTCTTTACAGCAAGTGTAGTATGTTTTTTTTTCTTTTTCTTTTTAAATTTTTAGTATGTTCATAATTTGTGTCCTACTCATTCATTGAACTTTCTTTAAGTGTCAGCACTGTTGCATCAAGACATTTATTCCAAATTCATGTGTTTACTCATACTGGCAACAACAGGAACAATATTAATGCATTCAGCCTGACATAACTTTTTTTTAAAGAGAAATTTGAATGTAAATACAGACCATTAAAACACACAGGTCTGTTTCACTACAGCACGTGCAATCAGTAAGTCTCCTTTATAGCCACTTAAATTTGTATTGGTTATAAGAGTTATTGGGATACATAAAAACTGGCAGATCTTCAGATCTATTCAGTGATATGATTTCAGAAGTGTGTTCTCTCACCTTGGCGAACAGACTTGGCCAGAAAGGCTCCACAGTGACTCCAGCAGCCTTGATCAGGGCATTCAGCTTGTCCTCCTGTGGACAGACAAATAAATAACATAACAGCCACCATTATTAAACTCTACTTCACATGCTGAACCACTTTTGGGAACCCCTTTTGCTAAAATATGAGCGATGACATATAAACTGGTGTTCTATAATGTGTTGAATCAAGCACTTTCAGTGATTACAAATATAATTTAAGAAAACATAACTGAAACATGTCCTCATTCCACTTTCTCAGGTAAACATAATGTGCGTGAAATCACACACTGGTGGTGACAAGCCACATTGTAGACACAGCTGACAGAAGCCATGCTGCCTGACACTGGCGCCACCGGGCCCTCTGACGACCACCACCAGTAGGCACACATGGGGACATATCTTGCCCAAGGATATTTGGCATGTAGCCTGGGATCAAACCACCGACCTTCCGGGGAGTAGGTGACCCGCTCATGCAACGAGCTCTAACAATAACAACTTTGAACGGTGATGCCAACACTAAAAAAATAAAGAAATGTTGTAAGAACACAAGACTGAGCTGTCCAGCTAGAAAAACGCGGCCTAGGAATAGCAACTAGCATGACGCCATTTTAGCCAGTTCGCGGACATAACTGGCGTTTGCCCGATACATTAATATACTGGTTTATCTGTAAACTTTAATGTCACATTTTTTGTATTTCGGGATATTTAACCCCAGAAAAAAAAATGTTCAAGAACGACCAACTCAGACATATTGGCTGAAATATCCCGGGTAACCTAGGACACTTACAGTGACGGTAACTTCATCGTCGTGGAGGATCAGAGCGGAGTAAATGCAGGCGAGCTCGGATACGGAGGCCATCGTAGATGTTAGATTTAATGTTCGTAGGGTCAGATGCCTGAGATTGACGGTGCTAGTCGCCGGATTGCGGGCCTTAGCTTCTGGTGAAGAACCGAGCACCTCACGCACGTTAGATTCCTACGGCAGAAAAGGGAGGGCCGAAGGGGGGGAGCTCAGTAGATATACTGTGCGTCAGGGAGCGTGGTTCTGACGTCACGACGCACAAAACGTCGTACGATAGCTTTATGTTCAGAAGACTTTATTTTATTTTTAGAATAGTAATACATCGCTGGTAAATATTATACATAAAACAGTTCAAAAAATATCTTGTATCTAGTCCCGGTATTATATTCCTACCAGTCTACATATAATGAAACATCAGTGTGTGAGTCATTTAGTTTTTTGAATATTTGTCACATGTACATAATTCAGATCATGGGTGGCATGAGCCACCCCTCTACCTCTAGCGCCACCCTATGGTTGTGCCAGAGCACATTTTGAATCAACACCGAATGAAGGGGGGGGGGCATGGGGTGACCTGTGCCAATGGTTCAGCCTTTGGGGTCGTTGCACCTCCAAATCATATGACTGACTTAAGATGACATAGATACAAGCTGCAGCCAAGCTGGGTCTCTGCTTCAACTTGTGTTGAAAGTTCAGACTTCAAACTATACACCAGTTTTTTTATTTGATTGATAGGCTGATAGGATTTGATAGGATTTGATGTGTCGGTCCACCGAGTTAATGTGATCCGTGAATTGTGATACGAGCCTTTCACCAGGGAGGATATGAAAAGTAGCAGGTTAGCCTTCTTAGACTGAAAGACTAAGGGGAAGACCATCTCTGAATTGAGGAGGGGGCCTAAGGGTACATCTTTCGCCATCTTACAATGCTGTGATTGCAGCCATTCCCCAACTCTCTGTGGTACTCATAGCCATTGATCAGTGGTCTTTCATCAGTGGGCTTTGGTCAGTGGTTGTTGATCAATGGTCATGAGAATTTGCATAATTAAGATTAAGGAACTGACCTCCCAGCCCATTGCTCCTTCAGTGGGCTGGTTTCAGTCATTATGTAAATGTACTGTTTATAAGATTGGGGAAACCTGCAGTCAGCTGAGACTGAAGAAGTCACTTGGATGAGTGACGAAACGTTTCTCCCACAAAACGCTACATCCAGATGAACAGAATCAACTTTTTGGAGATTTACTTTCCTGGATGATTGAGAATGTATCAAGACCATCTTGGGTTATGTGTAAATTGCGGAGGAGTGCAGGAGTACTGTATTTATAGAAACACTTAACTACACTCAGAGACCTTACAGTAGCAGTGTACCACATTGCAGAGAGCTGTACTGTCTTTTCCTCTCCTGCAAGGTTTGTGCACTCTTTTTGATTGTGGTGGTTGTGTGATTGAGCTTTAGGCCATGAATCGATGGCTGGACATATTCCATCAATTACAGCAAGTTGTCTTGGTACTGAAGCAACAAAGCAGCTCCAGAACATCATACTACCACCACCATGTTTCACTACTGGTATGCCATTTTTCGGAAAAGCTATGTTAGTTTTATGACAGGTGTAGTGGTTCTGAAAGCTTCCAAAAAACCTCATCAGTCTACAGAATATTTTCCCAAAAGTCTTAGAATCATCAAGTTGTTTTCTTTTTTGCCAAATGTGACTGATACTCTGTTCTTTTTGGTCAACAGTGGTTTTTACCTTGGAACTTCCTCATGGATGCCATTTTTGCCAAGTCTCTTTTGTTACTGTTGTGGTACACTGGAGTCCCAAAGCTTTAGAAATGGCTTAGTAAGACTGATAGATGCCCAACTTTTGTTCTCTGCTGCTCTTGAGTTTCTTTAGATCGTGACATGATTTAATGTCTACTTCACTGTCAGACAGATTCTGTTCAAGTCATCTCTTGATCCAACAGATCTGGTAGTAATTAGGCCTCGATTATCTAACCAAAGTCATTGCACGATTTAACAAGTGTGTGTGTGTGTGTGTGTGAGTGAGAGAGAGGGTGGGGGATTACTTTTTTACATCACGCCAGGTAGGTTTCGCTAGATTTTTCCCTTAACGAATGAAATTATCTCTGCATTACTCAGGTTATCTCTGAGCAACATTTCCACCGAACAGTTTACCCCAGCAATAGTAACATACCAACTACACGTAACATTTTGTCAGTTATTTTTTAATTTCATCTCAATCAAAAACACAAACATTACAATAAGTAAAACAATTTAAAGGCAAATCTCTGCCAACTCTATTTTTAAGAAACATAAATCCTGTGCAGAACCTTTATATACAGACCTAATATATCATGATATCTGAATGTTAAGTACATTATTTCAATTAAAGTCTTAAAAAAAAAGAAAAACCCCAAACTAGGGCAAATAAATCAAATTTTGACTGCATAAACTCAGTGTAATAATACTTTGTTTAAATATTTCCGTCATCATCTCTCTCACAATGTCAGTGTTTATTCAAAAGATCCGATGTACCATCCATTGTGAACGTACAATGGTAACATTATTCATTCTCACATTTGGCACTAGCAGATTTTCTTGGCCCATTTATGTAAAAAAAAAAAAAAAAGAAGATGGATGGAAAAGACAGTAGGACTGTCAGTGGTACCGAGTGTGGTACAATGTCATGAAACAGTCAGTACCATTTACAGAGACACAAAACATACAGAACTCAACTTCACAGATTGTGGAACTTTCAAGCTTAAGATTCTGGAATGTCTTGGGCAATTAATCTTCTCTCCATGGCAACAGATCACAACTTTCTCTTCTGCCTCTAGTGAAATTCTCCTGCCATCTACTGGCAAATAAACGGAATTATGTAACAATCCGCGCTTCTTCAGCAGAACTGAAAAGTGAGACATTCAAATGCATCACTTTTCCAATTTGGATTTCTAAACGTTTATGTTTTAAATCCCATTTTCTTTGATTTTGCCCTCAAATGTTACAGTTTATTCTCACTTTAAAAGCATACTTATTATGTCGATTTGAAATTTTACATTGTGCGAAATAAGCTATTTAAGCTGTCATGCATACCGTCGTATTTTATTATTTTGGCAACTTTGTTTGCTTTGCGGAAGCAAAAGTAAGCTACTGGAAGCAAACTTAATTACCGTCAATTTATGTATACAGGTCTGCATATCTTCTTGATAAGCTGATATCATCATATTAATAAGAAAGTAGAAAAAAAAGTCCCGTAAACCGTTTTGTTATGCTTTTGGCGTTTCATTTCTCCCATTCAGAGATTACGTTCAAATGTGTTTATCTAATTATCTCTTACTATGAACATTTACATCATAACAGTGTGTGTAATAGAAAACGAGCATAACAGGTCCTCTTTACAGCTCAGTCACACTAGAGTAAAAGCAGGACAGCGACTTTCTTTTAACTAGGAGAAATAAAAAAAGACAACAAAAATGTAAATACTTTACATCAACTACGTCACTATTCATGGAGGAATTCCCATTTTACACTTGCCGGACTCTGAATGCTAGGGTTTACTGTGAATTTGTAGCAGATATCAACAGATCTCTTCATAAGCAGATTGCATGTAATTGCCAACTGGATCCTATTCAGTTGCAAACTGATAGCAGACTGTCTTATTGGCCTTACTGCCATTTTGTCGTCGTCTTGCTCTAAAGTCACTTTGACTTACAAGTTTACAGAACACCGGCAGAATGGTTTTGGTCGTGCCATGGCCTCCAACTACTGTTTTCCCTAGTGTGACTGTAGCATTAAACATGACCGTTCTTTGTCACAGAACTAACAAATGCCAACTGTATGCACGTGATCATTTTGGATATAATTTGTACAGGTTTTTTTTTAAGAGCCAGATCGCCAAGTTAATGAGAAATGCTTAAAAAAGAATGAACATAATTTCTGATAATTTACATATTCAACAGAGCTAACAATATATCATTTTTAGTTTCTGTATGGCTTACCTTTGCTTATTGCAGCTTTCATATATATTCCAATTACCATAAACACCAGCTACCAATTTAGAAATAGTGGCCACTTAAGCACAAAAGCTGCAATTATGACTACAGCCTGATTTTTCTGAGACTGTCTGGAACAATATTATTGAGCTGCCTGAAACATCAGTCAGAATGCTTCACCTTTGCCACACTCCCTCCTTTTTTGTCACAGCACAGTCTTTCTATCCCTGCCATCACACAGCTATCTTGATTTTACTTGAATGCTGTCTTATCTGGTAGGTATACAACAAGCCACTGGATTATGTCTTCTTACTGAATAAAGCTCTCAGATGAGCAAAGCAGCTCTTTCTCTGCAGCTCGTAGATATACTACATCTGCCAGCTGTCGGAGCAGGCTGAATCCAACTTGTTCAAAACACGAGCGCAGCATTGTTAAGAATTATAAAGATTCCTTTGTGCATTTAAAACTCTGGAAAAATCAAAATACAATTGCAAGCAGTTCACAAGAATTACATTATAAGTGTATTTTTTCAGGTTGTTACGTCAGTCTGAAAGGGCCAGAGATGTAGCTCGTCACTGTGTCCCATCACACACACTGTAACTAACCCCCGCCCCACCAAAAAACCCCCAAAACAAAACAAGAAGGCCTCGTCAGACTGTCAGACGAAGCAGAAGATGATGTTGCCCTTTTAACAATTTTTAACAGGGTGGAAAAAGTCCGAACCATAAGCACATTTATGTGCCTGGAACATATACAACAAAAATGTACCCCTGACCATTAAACTCATTCCAGTTGATAAAGATGAGTGGACACCAGTGGAAACAAGGCAATACCCACAGATTCCAGATCATAAAAGCAAATTCCTCCGAGTCTAGTGACTCTTCCCTTTGGGTTTTTCATCGTACGACACTCCATATTCGTTTACTCTTGTTTTGTCCACGGGGTAGAGCCTGGTGAAAGAAACGGAGAGTTTTAACTCTGAAAAAATGTGCACGTTTTTAACAAATGTGCTACGTGTAATGTAGTGTGCATGTACCATCTCTGGTAAAGGTAGATGAGAAACACCACATCATCTCTGAAACAGGCCAGTCTGTGAGACGTTGGCATGGTGATGATGAAGGCAAACACGTCATCGATGAAGGTATTGAATGCCTGTTTACATGAAAGAAGTCCATGAACATTCTCAAAAGATAGATAAAAAATAAAGTAGTCATTGTTTGTAGGGGTGATCAGTTATTCTGACAAATTACATCGGCTCTTGAACATTGAAAAATAATAGATACACTTTCTTTCAAATTTAGAAGTGAGAGTTCTTTAGTAATTAAATCACTGACCAACATTATTATATGGAAAGTTAAAAGCTGTAAAAACAGTATGAAAGATGTAGGCCTCAGTCACACTGGCTTAGAGACCAGTCAGTCACTTCCCGGCAATCTCTGGTTGCTAGGGAAATATGTGCATTCTCGGACTGGTTGACAAGTGAAAGAGGGTGCTGCACCAAAAAAAGAAAAAAAAAAAATCTCCTTGTGATTGTCGGTATAATACTACGATCATCCAGTTTGAATTGAGAAAGCTGACTCGTCTGTAAACACTGCTTGATTGCAATCTACTCAGTGAGCACGATAGTAAAAAAACATGATGCAAACTGGAAATGCAGAATATTCTCCTTCAAAATAAAAGTGCTTTACTGCTGCAAACAACAGCATTCCAAAAGTTCACTTATTTGTTTTAGGCAAATTGCCTCGGTTTCTATTCACATCAGTTTCGCTACCCTTTGGAGAGAAGTTGGCAAGTGCGTGCAGACAAGTGGACGTCTTCTGTGCAAACTACAGGCGACCGTGCCATCAGCCTTGAGATCAAAACCATTAAAACATGTTTGTTGCAGCACCCTCTTTGTGGCTGTTTTTAATCTAGTGACTGCCAGCAACCACTCACAGAACACGCATTTTTCCTTAGGTTACCAATCAGTCTCTCAGCCTGTGTTACTGAGGCCTTACCATCCATTTGCTAAACCAATCAGAAAACAACAGGAAATTTATTTTTTACCTTATACATGAAGGCTTTCCAGGGCAAGTGGGCAACAGACTTCAGCTGTTAAATAAAGAACAGAGCTGAATAATCAGTCATGAATACTGTGCTGTTTTGTTATGGTAAATAAACTGCAGTTTGCACACTGTGCCATTTTATTGTTAAGTTTTAATGTGTGCATTTATTACACAGATTGCGTGAGTTATTGATTTTTGTGAATCAGTAACTTCAACGTAAAACTGACCTTATAGTTGACAAATAGCTGAGGAAGCATGAAGAGGAACCCGAAAGCATAAACACCTATAAAGTGAAGAAAAACACATGAGAATTTATTATGACTGTTATGGACAGAGGTATTTTGTGTGTGTGCTAAGACTATAAAGCACCTTACCGTTCACCAAGCTGTTAATCAGCCACGAGTACCAACTACAACAGAAAGATACACAATCAAAATGAGTGATGACCTGTCAGACTGAGTTAATCAGTATCCCGTTATTGTTACTTACACATACGCAGACTCCTACCTCTTATATCGTAAAAATATTAGTGCATACACTGCCCCTCCGACACACAGTGGGTAAAGGAGGTATGAGAGATACTTCATGGCCTACAGGAAAAAAATAAAGAAAGAGGCAATCAGCGTAAGTGCTCATATCGCAAAGAAACAACTGATAATTAATTGTCGCGTGTCCTACCAGGGTATCATATTCTTCCGTTCTCCTCTCAGATTCATCTAACTTTCCAAACTGTAACAGAACAGAAACACTCATTAGCACACTCGACACATGTTTTCACTCACATTTTAAAAATCTCCACAGCTGCGGTCAGTGCTGCAGAAATTAAGGAAAAATGCCGACAAGGACGATTATAAACTCAAGCGCCTCGATGTAGCGTTTTACATTTATAAGAAAGGATTGTCGTGTTTTCTATTAAGCATGTATTATCCTGCCTACAACGCTGCATGAACATTTATCTTTTTTATTTATTAAGATGGCTAAAGTTCCATTATCTGCTCTGTGCTTTGTCAAAGGACAGTAATTTAATTTAATACAAATATTATTACAGCAGAAAGCACCATAAGAGAATAAAACCAGCAGATAAAAAAGCAGCAGTTAGAGAAAAATGGTACTTTGAGTCAACATGTCAGATAATTTAAGAGCGAGTCGGATGTTCTAGCACAGGCTGTGTAAGACTGGTCTCTACTCCTCCTGGCATAGGAAATAACTGGATGCGTATATGTTGTACTTTTATTTAAATATCTATTTAAACATATGGAATTACAGTGTTTAAGGCAAAAAAACAGAATGTACAGGTATGACCACCTTTATTCTTTAACATAGCCTGAACTCTTAGGCAAGATTTCTCATAATTTCTTTAAGTAGTTTTCAGATCCAGGCTTCTGGAAAGACATTTAAAGCTCTTATCTGACACTCACTGTTGTGTCCATCTCCTGACATCCTCAGCAAATAACCAGAAATTTGCGATTTGGATTCATCACACCTCAAGACCTTTTCTCCCAAGTTCCCTTAAAACTGGCTTCTTGACAGCAACTGTAGGTACATATTTTTTAGGTCTGCTTCACCTTTTTTGCCTTTCATTTGGTCAGTTTCCTCAAGTTTTTTTAAAGGACACACTGCACACCATGCTGAGATATGCCAAGCTTCTGGCTTATAGCACTTTGGGAATCACCTTGTTGGTGCAAAAATACAAATTTATTTGAGTTTATGTTAAACTGTGCTTGTGGTGTTTTGTATATTCGGCTAAAGACATGCCAACAAATGACATGTTTTTGCAACACGCTGCTACTAAGAAAGTGCCTAAAGATAAAAATTTTAATTGCTTCTTTGCCAAGTTGTCTGTTATGCGTCCACAAAACTGGTTCATCCTCTGAGGTGTCTTTTGCATGCTTGAATGATCGTTGAGCTCAGTGTTAAAAACAAATTAAGATTCATCTGAAGATGTTTTTTTCCTCCCTTCTGAAATGTTCAGGTTCAGGTTTGGGTTGGACTGAAAATTAGTGAAAAAGTAGCCAATGTCCAAACTTTCAAAGAGCTCCAAAAAGTCTGGACAACTGTTGCTCAAGCCTTAAAAAAATCCAAGTGCAGCTGCTTGGAAACAAAATATAAAAAAGGCACACAGAGTTGCTAAAGACTTTCATACAACACTGTGTACTGCACAGCATTTTAAGCAGGCATGCTCAATTTTGTGTGTATAATTGTGTAGCCACCTCCCAAAGGCCCAGTCTATACCAACAAAGACGTAGATACGTGGCTGATAACAGAAAAAAAGAGATTACAGATAAAGACACATGCACACATACCAGGAATGTGGGTTTGCCTCCTTTCCAGAAAACTTGAATCTTAAAGGCTTTCTTCACTTTCCAAACCTTAAAAAAAAGCCCCCACATTATTACAGATCACGTAATCACCTTTTAATCAAATCTGAAGTGAGAATAAATGGTCATTTCGTGTGTGTTTAAATTCATTTTTAATTGCGCGTGTGCGTTTACTTCAATCATAGAGCCGATCCCTGCAGGTATGAGGACAAGCAGACTGGTCTGCTCGTCAAGCAAATAGAGGAAAATCACTATGGTACTGAAACATCGCCACAGCACTGAAATAGAAGCAAACAACAGAAAATGTGAGATAGTAAATGATAGTAAATGTCCCAAACTGACACTGATGACCGATCATTTGGTTCAGCTCGAGTGTCTTGATAACACTTTATCCCACATGTTTTAAAAGCCTTTTGTGTTATCTTACAACACTGGGAAACATTTGTAGGGTTATATAGTGACACGGTGTTTTTTGTTGTTTTTTCTCAGCTGCCACTTCTCTAAAAACCCATAAATCAGAGGTCCCACAGTGCCGGTTCTGTGGATCTGTCACTGCAAAGCCAAAACGATTAAAAAACTATTAAGGTACAAGCGCTCTCTCTTATAATCCTTGTGGGTGAAATATTGCTGGCCAACCAGCAGATTCAGAATATGAAAAAAATATTGTAGATTCACGTGTTCTGCACATTTGTCAAAGCCTTATTACAGGGTGACATTCACACACTCTACTAGGAGTAGTTTATTTAGCCACTAACCACAAATGTATTCATGGTGATTCTTTATGCCCATATAAACTGTATAAACTGGATTTTGAAGGGGTTTGGTGAGAAGGTGAAACAGTGCCGTGAAGCTAACAAACCTGCTTTGCTGGACATTCCCACCATACTTTTCTTCTGCTTCCAGAAGCTGATGTCATTTTTGAAGGCCAGGAAGTCAAAGAGGAGCTGAAAGAGCATTCAGAGTTAAGACTGGCATCTTTATTTGACCTTAAAATGACCCAGTTAGGTGACTTATTACCCCAAGCTTTACTTATATGTGATATTTTGTAATGATAAAAATGTTTCCTATTGTGAAGTGAAATGAACAGCTCACTTAAGGATTCAAAGTACACTCTAAAAGTCTGCAGCCACACTCACGTGGAAAGCCGCTACAAAGAAAGTCAGGGCCAGGAAATACAGGTTGGTATCCACGAAGATCCCTTTAATCTCATCAGCATCTTTCTCCGTGAACCCTGCAAAAACAGATACAGAAAACCGCACTGCATTTAGGTGTGTAGACATGATCAGGAAACCTGGCGGAAGCTCTATCTGAAGGATGCAGAAGAGAAAAAACAAAATAAAACAACATGTAGAACACTGAAGCAGATGGGCTGCAACAGCAGAAGACCACACCACATGTTAAGACACATTAACGCCACAATTTGCACCGACTTAACAAAACTTGGACAGCAAAAGATCGGGAAAACGTTGCCTGGTCTAATGAGTCTTGATTTCCGCTGCGATATGTGACTTTATAGGGTCACAATTTGGTGTAAACAGCATGAAAGCACGGATCCTTTCTGCCTCGTATCAACGGTTTAGGGCTGTGGGATATTTTCTTGGCATGCTTTTGGCCCCTTAATACCAACTGAACACTGTTTAAACACCACGGATGTGCAGCCAACAAATCTGTAGTAACTGTGTGATGTCATCATGGACACACTTTCTCACTACCAGAAATGCTGCTTGTATAGAGCAAGCAGGGTGGGGGCGACTAAATGCACCGCACTGTGCAATCATACATCACTTCTAGTAGGAGTTTCTTTGCATTCGCACAGGATGCTCGATCAGGTAATGTCTAGAAAAGTTCAGGGCTGCAGTGAACGTGTGAAGTTAAGCAAGGAGGAAGATTAGCATACCGAACTGCTGCAGAGAGTAAACGGCGTCTTGCATGTGGATCCAGAATCGAAGTCTGCCCAGAGAGATTGAGTCGTAGGAGATGATCAGAGGAAGTTCTGTAGTGGTACTGTTGATCTCCTACACACAATAACATGGGAAAAATAAAATCTTTTCAACGTTTCCTATAACGTGCTTCTCAGCCATGCATTCACTAACACATCATTATTGTGGCCTCATAAACTCATTGTCCTCTAACCAGGTTCTGTGAGCAAATAAGATGAATAGAAAAAAAGCATTGCATTTGAAAATCTGCCACTGGGACTACCTGACAGGGAGTTGCAGTCTGTTGCATAATATTTATTTAAAATTGAAAACTTACCACGAGGTCCTTGACCCGGTTGCTGAGCTCATCAACAAACAGCAGAGGTAGATACACCACCTTCTTCCCATTCTGAAACCTGGAACACATACAGATAAAACATTTTATGGAACTCTTTGATCGTCACGACAAGCCTGTAATCCGTTAAAAGTCCAGCTAGTACAGCTCAAAGCATCGTTTCTTTTTCTCGCCTCCACTATTGAAATGCTCTTTATGTCGGCATCGGTCATGGCCCACTTCACCGGTTGCGGCTGAATCAGAAAGCAACTGCCTGGATTAGAATAGGCACTTTTTAACCCTTTACATGCCACACCCTTTTTGGCTATTTCTAGGTCTTGGCTAATAAATTAAAGTGGCTGGGCCTTAGGTTAGAGCTCCCAAACTGTGGACCTATCTTTTAAACCTCTTCTTTAAAAACAAAAACAACAACAAAAAAAACAACAACAACAACACACGTCCCTTGGATATCTATTTCCTCTCATAGTGCCATTTGTGTTTGTGTAGCCGCCATCTTACACTCTGAGGTATCTGTGGACATCATTTGGGAGGTATTCTCTGTCAAAGAGGAAGTGGTCGCCGACAATGTTGACAGTGAGGCGGGAGCGCCAGTGTGAAACTGGATGGTCTGACACAGAGGTGGCTCCAGCTCTGGCTCCGCCCCCTGCCGCTGCATCATGCGGCTTCTTCTGCTGGCCTTCTTTCTGACCCTGTGCGAGTGCAAAGACAGGATAGGAGTTTAGTGATCTGATTAAAGCTTGATACAATGGCACAATTCTTCTGCATATCTGAGGATCTTTTTAAAGAAAAACTACATAGTTGTTAACTTTCTGTGTGTTGACTTTCAGCAGTAGCAGAGACAGTATGGTACCTGTGTTTTATCTTCTCCAGATATCAGAGAGATTTCAGGCGGTTTAGGGACCATGTACGTGGTGAGCTGAGCAACCAAGTGAACTTGTCGTGGATCGTGCCACGGATCGTGGGCAGCTTGATGGACAAATATTAGTGCGTATAGAGTTCCATTATTACGAGTTTTCTTAGGTAGGGAGACATTGATTGTCCTGTGGGAAACATGGAAAAGAAAGGAATAACATTTAAAACAGAACTTTAAAAAAGAAATCCGTTTTTCAGAATGCTTCAATCAAATCTCCGTGTAACACCGTTTCATACCACAAGGGGCTGCGCATTCAATTCAGTGTCTGTTTTTATCTCATAGGTTTTACTTCAGTTAAGATAATAAACGTGAATCTCTTAACTCCCCCCAAAAACAACCAACCTTTCAAACTTGCTGTTGACATCAAAGTTCTCCTCTTTGTGGATCAGAGTATGGCCTCCTTCTGCGTTCGACCGCAGTGTGGTGTAGATGCTCAGCTAACGAACAAAGATGAACATGTCAGTCATCCACATCAAAGAGAGAAACCAGACTCGTGCATGACCGGTGCGACCATCCTTGCACACAGCTGACCTGCAGTTTGGGGTTCCCAGCCAGGAAGGGTGTGATGCAGTTGGCACCTTTGGGGTTGTTGCAGGGTTTGGTGTACACAATCCCGTACATCACCCAGCAGGTGTGGAGCACATAGACCACAAACACCCCCACGATCAGGGTGGTGAACGATGTTTTCAGAAACATGATGCTCGCGTCGTTTCCTCGTCTCCCTCGGCTAACTGAGCGGCAGGGCCATATGTCTGCAAATGAGGCATTACATTCGATTTAAGTATGAAGCTCAAAACTCAATTAATTTTAAACGCCAATTAGGGATCAGACAATTGTCTCAATCACCTGACTTGTCACTTGTCTCAGATTGGTCTTAGAAAGAAAAAATAAATTAAGATAAAGAGTTTATTTGCCAATCGTTTTAATGAATATGAGATACAGCTGGTCAGGAACAGTTGCCAAAACTTGCTCTTCCAGTTTTATCCCGGTTGTACCACACAAACAAGTAGGGTTGCCAACCGTCCCTTGAAAAACAGAATTGTTCCGTATTTAGAAACAAAAGTATTGAGCTGAAAAGAGACGCACTTTGTCAAATGGTTAAAAAAATAATTCCACACACCAAAAAAAGAGCTAAAAAAAATTCCTCACACTGGGAAGGGTGAAGACAATCGGGTCGCCCAGCCCTGGCCATGAGGTGTCCCTTATTTATTTTTCAGGGAGTTGGCAACCCTACAGACAAGTCATTAGCAAGATGAAAGGAGGCCCTCATATTTAGAGAGATTAAATGGCAGGTGATGTAGTGAACTGATCTGATACTGTCTGGAAAAATATATAGTACTACACATCTAAATAACAGAATCCTTGTTAGCACACTGGAGATCAGGTCTCCCACAGATTGTTTGTTTTAATTCTGCGTCAAGTTGCAGTAAACATCCGCACACGTGTTTTTTGTTTTTTTTACTGATGGTAAAAGCATCAAACTGTCTGCTGCTCAGGCACCCTGAAGCTCTTTAACCAACTCAAACTATGGTACACCTGCTGTCAGGTTTTCCATATGGTCGGATCTGCATTTGCCTTTTCTGTGTGGGGATGATGTGCTACCTTCAACCCACAGCTTTAGTGACGCTAATCCTGAACGAATTCTGTATTCACTTTGCTTTTAAGGCACATAATATAAGTAAACCCCCCATATTAACGTTACACATTACCGGTGTTTAAACTGGCAGGCTGTCGGTGACAGGACGCTCTCAGCTGGCTCACTGACTGCCCATCCGTCCATCCACTTTACAAACCCTGTCAGGCGACTCAAAGCGACCGCATCGCTTCTTCAGAACCGCGTAGTGCTTTCGCCTGAAGACATCTGCTGGACTCTGGGCTCGGTTGTGCTTTTAAGAAGAAAAGAAAGAGCTATATCCAGAAATTACTAACTGAAAGCGTGAGGTGGCTCTACATTTCCGCCATTCGCTTCCTTGTTAGTTTCTCCCGCGAGATTTGGGGAAGTGGTGCCGCGAGATTTGACGTCACTGGCGCACTTGGGGCGGGAAAAAATATCAATATTTCGTTTGAAATTATTTAAGGGGAAAAAAAAAAAATCAAGAAATCATCATTTTATTTGATGTAATTCCATAATTTGTATTCAGTGAATCTTGATATTTCATGGAAAGTTGTCATTTTATTACAGATATTTATTTATTGTGCTTTTCTAGTTACAAAACCCTAACCACAGTTCACTACTCCATGGTCAAATATGAAACTGTAGGTGTCTGAGAAATATTTTAAAGGAAGAAAAATATTTTTGGCTCCATGCACTGATATGTTTTACTCATGAGAGTTAAAGTTCTTAGCGTAAAGTCTTTATTAAACGCTTGAGAGAGTAACCTTGAACATCCGGGTATCTGAAGAATCTCCAACCCCATTTTCTTGTACTCACTTGGAGCCCAAAAAGAGGAATTTCTGACTAGTACCTTTATTTTTTGACTTCTGTTATCACTGTTTTTGTTTAAATGTTAGAACAATGTGTTTTTGTTTTAAGTTTTGGTGGCGCCAAAGCTATAGAAAGAGCTAAGAGCAAAGTCCATGAACAGCAGCTTATTGTCAAGTTAATATGCAGTGTTACTGTTCTTTGAGGTCATTGCATGGTGCACCTTATGTAGTTTTGTCTTCAGTTATGAGTTATTTATGGCTAAAGAATCCTTGCACTCAGCAATTTTGGTTCCACAACAGTAGGGAGTCCAATGGTAAAGAGCTGCGTTCTTAAAAGCAAGCTGAAAGACACGTACTCGTACAGATGTTACATTTGTAGATCCTTGCACAATATACCTTGTGCATTAATCCAACATCTTAATTTTTTTTTCATGAGTTATACCCACCCACTTTCATTTATGAAAGTTAATTTGAAAATGAAAAGTTTTCCTCTAAGATGCAGAAGTTTCACATCCCATGAATAAACCAGCTACTCTCGGAAATGTGTATAAAGCTTTTTCCTGAAGGCAGATATTACAAATGTTAACCATTATTCTCAAAATCTAAAAGTGCACTTCAAATTCAAGATTATTATAATGACTTCCAAACATCAAATCCACTAGGGTAAAAAAAAAAAAAGACATTCATAAGTTTGGATGCCTTTGTTTTACATTGCAGAATTTACCACCTAGTCTGAATTCCTTATTGATGAACATCCATCTCATTTCTTTGTTTCATAACCAAGATGCAAAGAAATACGGCATTGACAAAATACTCCTGCTGATGATGTTAAGGATGTTAGAGAACAGTGGTGTGAAATTATCATTTACTGAACAACAAGTAACTGGTAATAATTTAAGTTTTTCACTCAGTTCTTGGCTATGTTGAATCATTCTCTGCAAACTATTACTGTAGAATGTGTTTTAAAAGCATCTGCTTAGAGGGCCACAGTTACACTAACTGATGTGCATTTTAACACAAGTAGTGTTCATGTAGAGTACATAGTCCACTGAAATTAGTTAAATATTTATCCCTAGCTGTGCACTTTTTTGTGAATTTGGCTCAAGAGTATCACTGTCTCAGTGTCGACCTTTTATTCTTTTAAGTTGTCTAGTAATGTGTTTTAAAGGTCTTTTAACACCAAGTTGGTGTTTTTTTAAATCTTCTAGTATTAATATTTCACACTATTTTTGATGTACTAACGTTAACTCCCATGAAAGTTTTAGCACAACTAAAAAACTTTCCCACAGACAATAAAGCTGCAGTAATAGCGTAAGCAACTAAAAGTTAAAACAGACATTGGAAACATTAGGTGTTGCCGTGACCCGGATTCGAACCGGGGTTGCTGCGGCCACAACGCAGAGTACTAACCACTATACGATCACGGCTGGCCACTATCCGAGCTGCTTTGAGGAACCTTCTCATCCACGAACAATGCAATCAATATATGGGTTTCAACACATAAACTAATAAGAATCTTTCAATTCTTGCAGTAAGCACATTACAATGCTCACGGATGTTAACGTGCATCAATAATTAATGTTACAAGAAAAAAAAAAAAATGATGCCGTTGTGTCTGCATCAGTCTGCTCGTCCTTTCCAATGAACGTAACATTTCCATAATAATAAAATCAACTGAACCAAAACTTGCTTTCATAAAACCTCTTTCTCTCGTTTAGCTCCTTATATAGCGCTAAACACTATCAACTATTTGAGTGTCCATATAGTGTTTCTTCATCTACAAGAATAAGCGAGAAAATGTAAGTTAAAGTCTAAATCTCGGACTATTTTTTTAATCTAGAGAAAAGGCCAATCTAGATTTTTTTGATACTGCTTAAGCCTTTATATAGTCTGTTGCGGACGCAGGCACTGCAGAGAGGTCATTCCTGTTTTACTTCTTTGAAGTCCTTTCTACTGCCTGGGGCGCATGCGTAGTTGGTGCATTTCGGTATAAAATCTCTTACATCAGATTCTAGTGAGATTCTTGCCCTCACTGCCTGCCTGCTGATGAAATTGACATCTCTCGAACCCAAGCAGAACCGAGCGGGTATAAAAAAGCATTTACAATTAAGAAATGCTACTGTCAGCAAAGATCGCCCTTTTGCACTGCTCACGGGTGCATTTCGAACATTTGGATCACATTTTTTATTGTGCTCTGCAGTAGTAGAAAGTATACAAACATCCCCTGCTTTCAGCAGTGCGCACTCTTTATCTTTTCTTGGGAAATGAGAGAAAATCTGCCGTGACCCGGATTCGAACCGGGGTTGCTGCGGCCACAACGCAGAGTACTAACCACTATACGATCACGGCTTATTTGGCTGTGACGGAGAAAAAACACGGCATGACATATTTGTCCTCCGAAAACAATTTCCCCCTCCAAGTAAGACTTTAAAAAACACAAATTAATTCTGCACCTGTATTACTTTTTTGTGCAGTCTTTGACCTGATGCTTCATGTCCACCCTGTTAGAGGACGTGTCCAGTGGGGAAATGGCTTCAAATTGACACAATCTTCAGCATCTCTCAGTTGCTGGCATTGTTTTGTGTGAGCCTCTTGCTGTTAAGAGAAGATATGAGTTTCCTTTTCCATAGAGAGTCTGCAGTGACTGGGCTGTACTCATTCTCCCGCTTCCATTGTTACCATTCTACAAAAAAGATCAGGTTTATCAAAGTTGCTTGAATTGCATATGAAATTACTTCTTGTCTTCCTCCTCATCCACTGCATCTTACCAGCACTCTTCCTCCTGTGCCACTCGGATTGTTTTCATCCGTTTGGATATTGAACTTCAACTCAGTTGTGTTGCCTTTGCACTCTGAGCGGGCTTCTTTTGGTTTAAAGACCTCAAAAGAACAACTGTGAGCAATTTGGCATCTTTGTGTAAAAGCAATAGAATTTATTTTACAGCTTGTGTTGGTGAAACTGACATCTATGCATGCAGAGCGTGGTAATATTTCTGACAATGAAGGGACTGATTTAAACAACAGAGCTAGGACACAAAGAATTTATTTAGCTTTAGTCAAATATCCCTGCCACTATTTTGCCTCATCTCCGCAAACAATGTAGGGACACGCACCATACATTTTTCCTCACAGTTGTTGCCCACCTGGATCCCAAGCATCCCTGACCCAACTGGTCCAATTAAAACAGATATAAAACTGAGCTAGGGCCTGTTTATTGTCAGACTGTCTTCTAATTATCATGCAGAACTAACTTATTAACTCCCTAAACGCTAGGAAATCTTTTCCTGGATTTCTGTTCATTAAAACAGAGTTCATGCACGCACCATTTACTTTAATTACATTTTCCACATGTGAGAATTTCACAGAGGTTGTGTGCTAAACAGTCAGAGCGAGAATGGTACCCTTGTCAGTGCAGGCTCATGGAGGGTTGCCTGAGGGTGAAACAATTCGAAAGCTAGCACCAATTTATCTTACATAACCTCAGGCAGGCAAAATACAAAAGCGATAAGTGATTTTATTTTTTACCTTCATGCCTTCGGTGTACCTCTGAAATAGTCTTAGTGCTCTGATGTAGCCATTTGTTTTTTGCCTTTTCTTTGACCAAATCTACAAAGGCCGCTGTGACATCTATCCTGTTTGTCTCTAAATGAGTTCATGATCCCTACACTGTAATAATAAATGGGGTCAGGCTCCCTTATGATCAAGCTCTCCTGAATGTAACTTCATAAAATCGGGGTCTTATGAAGTCCTTGGCCCTCTTGGAAATTTCCTTCATCGGATGCACTACAGTCTCAGTCCTTGGCCTTTTGCAGTTAGCCTGAAGTATCTGCTGTGTAAATAGAGGATTACAATTTGTCTGAGAGGCCCTCTAACCTCATCAGGATATTGTATGTGGAATATATGAATTCTGGAAGTGCTCTGTGGGCAAATTTCCCAGCTGAACATCACTTCATAAATCTTCAGCTGGATATAATTAGACTTCCTGTATCCAGTGTGACCCTCACCTCATCTGCGGTGCATCTCTCCTCAGCTGAACTCTCTGTACACCAATGACTGCGCCTCTTGCTTGCGGCCTGCCACATGGGTTACATTTGAAGACGAGGAAAAGTTATAAAAGATGAGGTGTTAGATCACAGACTCCGTTGCACAAGACTTTGGTTGAATTAGTAACAGGTATTGTTACTAGTTCAACCCTTTACTAGAAGCTCTCCCCTTAATGATCTGTGCACTTGGTGAATTGCTAAGTTTGAGT